TACCCATTTCTTGATCGAAGTCCAAGGCAACATAACACAGTTTTTCTTTGATATCACGAACAATTTCACGTTCAGCAGTAGTAGTAAAAGAATGACCACGTTCAGTTAATATTTTCATAAGATAATCAGTTAAATCACGACCAGCCAAATCAAGACGAAGAATTGCATGTGGTAGAGCATAACCTTCATAAATAGGAACAGTATGACTTACACCATCACCTGAATCCAATACTATACCCGTAGTACGACCAGATGCATACAAAGATAAAACTGCCTGAATAGCAACATACATGGCTGGACTGTTGAATGTTTCAAACATAATCTGTGTCATTTTTTCACGATTTGCCTTAGGATTCATTGGTGCTTCAGTAAGTAGGACAGGATGTTCTTCTGGGGCTACACGTAATTCATTATAAAATGTATGATGCCATATTTTCTCCATATCGTCCCAATTCGATACAATTCCATGTTCAATAGGATATTTCAAAGTTAGAATACCTCTTTTTGATTGTGCTTCATCACCGACATAACTATCTTTTTGTCCCATACCAACCATAACACCTTGATGTCTTGGACGACCAACAATTGATGGGAATACAGCTCTTGGTGCATCATCACCAGCGAATCCAGCTTTACACATACCGGATCCATTATCGATTACAAGTGCACTTATTTCATCTTCTGACATTTTGTAAATATCAAGTGAATTGAGTAAAACAACTTCAAAAAATTAGTTGTTGTTTTTTATTAAACTGGAGGATGTTCTGATAAGTGCTAGAATTACTAATTGCACCATACTTTAGTTTATATTTATTGTCTCACTTAACAACAACCATATATGGCTATCGATTTGATGATGTTTAGTAAACCAATAATAAATACAGGCGAATTCTAGTTCTAACAAAAATGTCGAATGCCACATTTATTTATGATAAAACATCATTAAATTCTATTATTTTAGTTACTTTGCTAAAGTATTAGATAGTCATTACTACTAAATATGTGCTCATGTATATCTCTATGTGAATGTTTGTAATAAACATTCTATCTAACTTAAGTAACAAGGCAACTATTGTAATAGAGAAAGAAAGAAAGCTGGTTATGTGCACTTATGTGTACATGTCAATGTTGTTTGTATGAGATTCTACATAATCATTATAATACTGAATAAAATAAGATAATTGTGATGTTTATTATTGTTTTCTATTCAACTTTCTCGGTATTCAGAGAAGACGGTTAACAGTTACCAAGATATCAATGTAATAAGATAACGGACGTCTTTTTAAAAAAAACTGATTGGACTAACCAGTACCAACATACAATTATGACATATTGCTCATTATGTAGAATAATAATAGAACAGTAAATAATTTCGGCGAGACTATCTTTTATGGATGAATCAAACAGATTTATGATAACAGATCTTGGATTTCCACGTGAAATTCTTTATCCTTTTTGCTAAATAGCATCTTGGCATTTTAGCTAATGTCAGTTTGTGATGAAAACTATAAATCTAATCCCTATCCCTAACTGTCAACTGTAAATCACAATCCTTATCCCTCATTCAGGTTTAAAACTCTCATTTAGCCCCAGTGGACATTCTCAAGGCCACTTTAGCGTTGCTCAAAGGTCGTCAATAAATTATAGTCGATATGCTTGAATGCTTTTACGAGTTCACCTTACTCGGTAAACGGAACGAAGACCAAAGATATAGTGCCACGATAGGCTATTCTAATCCGTTGTCCCCGGCCCTGATAGCTGGATCAAGAAATCTTGATCAGGCGTAAAGAATGCATTCTATACCAAAGTATCCCAATCATAATGAATTAGCATCCAGAGGATATATATTACATGGACCATTGGTTTAATGTGATGGTAGGAAGAACAGTACACAGCTATCTTTGAAATTGAGCATAATAATCGTTATTCAATGATTATATGAGCTGAAGAAAGATTATTTTTGTAAGTCAATTTATTTATAAATATCGATCACCATAAAACCGCTTGGTCCATCAATTAATCAGATTAGGAGAAAATCGGCCAACAGTAGATCATAACTCCTGTACTCTGAAAAAAAGCAGTCACATAAATAGGAACAAACATTGGTTAAATTCATTTGGTGTTGTTTTACTTTGTTATTTAAGACTGCAATTGATCAGTCTCGTGTTGGCATATGTGTAACCTGTAAGGACTGCTTTGATATTGCCCCAATTCACAAGCTTTTTAAGCAAAGATGGATAGTGGCTGGCAGTGGAATTCAGGATTCGTATTTCGTCCTATTTGGGACTCGTCAGCTGGACAGTCCCTAGACTTTACATCGAAAAACTCAATTGTCAGTATAATCATATAGTTATAACGTTTATACCATACGAAACAGATAAAAAAACTATTTAGAAGTGGTTACAACCAGTTGCTTAAGAAAAATGATATAAATATTTTGAGTAAGTTTTCATACTACTAGATTATGACAAGTAGTACAAGATCCACAAAACAATTATCAGATAAACACCCATACTCTTCAGGCTGTATTAAAATATAGACGGTCAATCGTCTTTTATGAAAACTATTAATCGATAAGCACCGAGTGAGTGGTACATTAGTATCAACCACTAACATTATTAATAAATATTTACTTGACTCCAAAAAATAAAGATGTACAGAAGAATTATAAACAGGTTTATATTAATCAGTGTAAGTTATTGTCTAGATACCAACTCTACCAAAATCATGAGGATTTCATAATTGGAGTTACTCATATCAATGTTAAATATCAATGATCAAAATGACAGTAAGTGCCCGGAAGTAATCTCTTTCAGTGTTTCTCTAAATCTCTGGTTGGTTATCATCAAAGTCCAGCGGTTAGGATTCCTGACTTTCATCCATGCGGCCCGGGTTCGACTCCCTCTCCAAGTGCTCGCACATGGCCGTTCGTATACAGTCACTCTCATGTAAGTCCTACTCACTAAATTCTCGCGGCATTACTGTTGTTTACGAAGTTGGGAGGACGAAAAGAGAATGTTCGACTCTATAACCGGGCTGGTGGATACGAAGGATCCACCTACGGGAGTAAGAAAACCCTCATTCCGAACCAATGGTGTATGAACCTATTGTTGGTTACCGGCTATCATGGGACTGTATTTCCTTACATTGCTCCACTACCTTGTGGATCAGACCATTAGGTCGAAGGCTCCGTATGCGGTCCTCTAAGAAAACCACCTGCTTCGGTCTGGGCAGTATCACAGCCCACACACAAATCAAGTGACTTGTATGGCGCATATGTATTCGGTGCCCTTTGTATCAGTATTTACGTGTTCAACTAAATTAAATGTATGATATCTTGCCAATAATATGGATGACTTAGTTAGTAAAAGACAAATGAGCCCCTTAAATCCATGTGGAGATTGTATACTAACCAAAAGAAGCCAGTCAGACTCTTATGATAGGTGAAGTCAACTTCACTTCCTATACCCAAACTAGGGCTTGGGGCAGACAAGTCCAGAAACAATACTTTAAATATTTAGAAGGAAAAAGACGCATCCTAAACGAGTCTACATGATTACTCAGAGGATCCGGAAGACTTTGCATTTTATCAGTGATTACAGAGTGTGATCTGTGTAGTATAACTAAGATAGTAAGTCTCTATTCAGAAGGTACACGTAAGAGGAAAAAAGAATGCAACCTCGGGATCCAACTTTGATGGAATTTTTTCAAAATAAATAAAGTGAGGAGTTTGATTTAGATCATTTAAAGTTATAAACTATGATGATAGTTCACTGTAATCACTGAGACAACCGATAAATTTCGATTAAATAGACTTTAAAAGATAAGCTTTTCAATTGTAAACATTATGATACAATCCATCCATCACTTAAGCTGAATATAACTTCAACATGGTGAAATACGATCATAATTGAACACTAAAAAAGATTACTCATATCCTAACTTCTCTATTATTGATTTTAAAAAAAGTCCTCTTTTACAAAATTTTGAGAACTATAATAACGTAATTCGAATTTCTTCTATCTTTGTGACACTATATTGGTTTATTTTTATCAGTTATACTACTACAAATGTTACTATGATAACTAAAATGTGCTTTTCCATAAATCTATATAATCAATACAATATCATGAATAATAATTGACCCAATTTAATGAGTAGAAAGTGTGAATGAAGACAATGTGTACATGTATACACACATACATACATACAAACAAACACACATACATAATATACCATTTTGACAATAACTATGATAATGATCCATTTGGATGCCAAAACATGCGGTGCACATCAATAATGAATTTATTCAACAAGAAATTACAATGATAATAAATAAAAAGTTTTCTTTCTTTCTTTTTTTTAAAAAAAAAGAGAAGCGAAATGAATAGCACACAACTTAATCAAAGATCAAGAAACAACATGAATAAATAAAAAAATTTGGTTACATTAGATAGATAAGAATCATCAAATAGCGTGCACCTCTTACACATACATACAAATAGTACAGGCATCATAATCACTTTGTGTGTTTTTATTTGATGACAGTAGCATAGGTAGTAGTAGTAGTAGTAGTAGTGTGTAGGATCTGTGGCAGTAACAACAATAATGATCAATACTTAATCAGTCTTGACGAATAATTGTCAAACTCTTGTTCGACTATTTTTTTTCAATGTTGAATTGTTTGCATAGATATATGCCAGTTCTATGGGAGAAAAAGAGCGACGAGATTGTACTTATGTTGATAAACAAATGTTGTATCATCTATTCTCTGATTAAAAAAAAAATTCAATCACAAGTTTAAAAAGAAAGTTACAACAAAGAAAAGAAGAACGAAAGAAAATATGTAACCGATTTTAGGTTTACACATAGATAAAGATATGAACGATGGTGTATAAAAGATCACAGTGTTTACAACAATTTAGGCATGTCAGAGTCGTACATCATCATCACGATCATCATTAATAACATCTCGAAATCGTAGTTATTCATTATAGGACATGAGTTGAAAAATAAAAAAGTTACATAAAAAATAACAAAATTTAAGTAGTAAATGAATGACTTTTTAGAAAAAAAAAGTTTGTGAAAATCTAGTTCATTTGTCATTGATAGAGAATTTAATGGATGTGTGTGTGTGTGTGTTTGTGGATGGATGAATTCATTCAACAGAAGAACATAACATTCTATTGTAGTTTTGAATAAATTGATGGTCTAAATTTATAATGAATAAATTTCAATATTAATATTGGTATACAACTGACACCAGTGATAGCTAATACTTTCCAAACAAATCCAATTGTTCTTAGAAATACTGAATCTGTAATTAATGAATAAAACAAATAAAAATTGAAAGGATTACAAATGGTTACAGTGATTGGAATAATCAGAATGAAACAGAATGTGTACAATCAGTAGGATGAGGATGATGATGATGAGGAGGAGGAGGAGGATTTCAATCTGAACTAATCGATAATGGAATAGAAAAGAATGTTATGTTGTATTCAACCGCTGCTCTTTGGAATTTTTAATTCAATGCAGTCTTACTCTAATATGGTATCCATTTGAAATAAACGTTCACTTATAACACAATAAACAAATAGTTTAAATTACTAATTAATTGAAGATTATTTGTATGAGAGCTAACGTGATACTATTGGACTGCTTAGAATCGAATTAGTCATACAGATTGATTGGAAGTTAAGTGTTTTAAACGCTATCTTATTGCTACAAACAATCATCTTGTAATCGAGCATATAATTTTGTTAGAATGAATACATACTTCAAAGTAACTCAGTGATTTGATCTGTGACTATGGTACTGAAGGACAATATCGACTTCGAATCAATATTACTGAGATACTGTGTTGATGGTTTTCATTACAGGAAAAAACAAGATAAAAGTTCGTATGGTGGATGTCATTTTAAATTAGTTATACGAACAACTCGTATGGACTGAAATTCAGATGTATGATCGAAAGTCACTTGCTTGACATAGATCACTTACTCCACTACATTCGTATTACCCTGTGTCACAGTCCTGTCTAACAACATCGATTGTATAAACTAACCTTAAAAAAGTATAAGAAGTGTAGAGACTGTGTTCACAAGAGATCACTCATTGATAAAGTTGTTTGACTTGCAAACACTACGTAAGAGGTTCGAACTCAGTAACCGGATAGCATCATTAGCTCTCAAATTTAGACTGTATCTTAAATCACATGAATTAGAATCTCGTATGAGTTGAGGGAACACAAATTTTAACCAGAGAGTCACAAAATGTAAATACGAATCCTCCACGAAGATTTGAACAATCATTTATTAGTGCATTACTTAAAATACTGCCTTTGGTTTAGTATAAGAAATTGTGTTTAGAGTAAGCAAGGGTAATTTTATTTGTGTAATAAACCCATAAAGTCAACGGTTTTTAGTCATTTATGTATACATGTCTACTGAAATTCACGGAATACATGGATAAGAACTGAAAACTTCGCTGGGTACAACAAACGAATTATCTTGTAGGATTAAATATCAAAATCTGATTATGATTCAAATGAATTAAACTTGAAAAAGTAGTGGGACTAAAGTATAGAGACAATCTTCAAGCAATTTCCAAAAACGCTATTGGAAAAATCTCAACCATTTACCTGATTTGAAATAGGATTAAGTATAAGTGTAGTAGATTCAAAATTAGTAATTAGTTAGAAATTAAGTTTAAATGTTTCATAACAAAATGACATCAACTATAATGCAAGAACATTGTGTAGTCTCGATTGTTAAGCCCACAAATGCCCTGGTACGGCCGAGAGTGGGGAGAGTTAACACTCCCTCTCCAAATGCTCACACATGGCCACGTGCATACAATCACTTCCACGAAAGTCCTACTCACTCCCTTTATTGCACCACGGGTGTTGTTTACGAAACTGAGAAGACGAAAAGCGAATGTCCGACGCTTTGATCGGGTCGGCGGACACGGAGGATGCACCTAGCTGAGTTGCAAAACCCTCATTCCACGATCCTGAAGGAACAAATGGCGTATGAACCACTTATTGGTTACCGGTTACCATGTGATTACATCTTCTTATGTTGCTCCACTGCCTTGTGGACTAGACCTTCATGTCGAAGGCTCCGGTTGTGGCTTCATCTATTTGAATTTGAGCCCCCAGATAGTATCACAGCCCGAATATGTATTCGGTGTCTCCTTATGCCAATATTTATGTGTTCAAATAGAAATAAATAAACAAATAATTGTGTAGCTACCATATGGATAGATGAATTTTGTGTACAAATTCAAGAGGTACAAACTTGGAATTTGATTGATTTGTCCTGATAGTTTTAGTTAACAACAAGATAGTACAGTATATTCTAAAGTTTAAAAGTGTCTTATATATAATGAAACATAATTAGTTGACATTATACATATTAGACTAATGGAGCATTTATTCATTTACACAATTAGATATTCAAAATATCATAACAGTAATAAATTAGGAAGAAAAATACACTGAAAACAAATACATTGATTCTTATTTAAACATTCCATTTGATATGTTCTTTGTGATCCCCTTATCTGATTCCAATTGGATCCTGTTATGAATGACTGTTGTCGAAATGTATATTCTGACTATTCTCGTATAGAATTACCGACTTAAATCACGTTAGTGAATAACGGGATCAAATAAATCCAATACGAAGCCAGATCAACTCCGTCTTCTCATTCTTCTATCGAAATATATCTTATTAATACATACATAATTTAAAAGAAAAACGGGAAAAACAAAAGAAGTAAACACTTACCAAAATATGCTTTCATGACAATCAAAGCCATTATATAAATTGCTAAACTGATAACTTCCGCTAAAATCATTAGAAGATGCCATGTACGTATAGTAATAGCTACCATAAGTAATTCTGTTAATAATAAAGCTGTAAATGTGATAGCTACTACATGAATGAATTCATCTTCGAAAAGTAACAATGCACCATACATGATAACACTACCTAAATAAATGAAATAATGAGAATAATTCAGTATATGGTTATAAAGATTGTTGAGTTTCAATGGAATTATGAACCCGATCTAAGTTAGACCACTATTGAAAACCTGGAAGCACTGGATGATTATTTCGTCCTTGTATAAGACTCCACAAGAGTGAGCATCCACAGTTCCGAACCCAGAAATTTCGATCTTTCAGTCCAGATATTTAACAAAGAAATCGGGAATGCGATAATTCAATGATGATTTATGAATGGTTATATCATGTGAATCAAGGACTTTTTAATCGGAGTGAAAGGAATCATACCATTTAAGGTTTACACCAAAATTTACGCGCAAATTCAGGATTTGCACTTTCAGTTGGGACAACAAACATGTGTGCCGGGCTCTATGTTCATGATGTCCGTCTGTATATCATCTAAGTTAAAACATACACTCTGGAGGATTCCTAAGTTACGCTTTTTTCTACTTGCAGTGTCTGGATATGATAGAAAGAATATTAAAATTAAAAGTATGATGTTGTCAGAAGAACCTTTATATTCGTCAACATAATACATCTCAGATCAGAATGAGGTTAAAGTTTCACAAATAGTCAAACCGCTAAAAACAGGAAACGAAGTAATGTTAAAATCAATAATGACAACTCTACAGTATAAACTTTCAGAAAATGAATGTGACGTTTTCAAAAACCATCCACTTCAGATAGTGTACAAATAATCAAATTGAAAGATGTTCAATTCAATAAGCATACTCAACAATTGAGAACACAGAAAAATTCTTTTCCCTAAACATTTAACAGTCTGCAAAACAAATCATTACCATGAGCAGTGAAATATTCTCATAAGGAGCATACTATGCTAAAATAAACCAACCTATTCAATTTACTATGAATCATAATAAACTTTGCACATCATGATGAATAAACAAAGTGCTATCAATGTATTCGAATATATATATACTAACCTTGATAAACACTAATCAACTGCCAGATGAAATAAGTTTTAAAAGTTAATTCACGACCTTTCTGTAAAGTTTTATATAATTCAGGGTAAGTTAGAGCAATACGATCCGGTACATCCTTATCAAGCACCAATGAAAATACAGGGAACATAGTGAACACTGTGGCATAACCAACATATAGAAAACTTGGGAATAACGGTATTGCAACAAAATAGAAAACGGCTGAAAATATCGCTTGCATGACTGTGATAATGGAACCTAAAATGAAAAGGAACAATGTTGTAGATGAAACTAGTAAGCTTCAAGATGAAATGAAAATGCTATTCGTTGACTAAATGTAACCATGTCCGAAACACGGTCGTTATTAGGGATGACAGGATTATAGTTAAGCTCTACAGTAAACTGATGAGAGTTGAACATGTGGATTGTTAGATTATAATTCACTGCTGCATACCGCTATCGTAGTGAGATCTGAATGACCCTAGGTTCAATCATATGTGAATAATTACGAATAAGCACACACTATCAGGCAATTCCGAAGTTAAGATCGACATACTTATGTCCAGCGCTACCTGACTTTATTTATTCTTCAAATGACGTGGGTCTACAACTTAATATTAAATAACTCATATTACTTAGTCCAATTAAGTAGCACAAGAGATAATTATGAATTTCAATGGTTGAGGTCATGAGTCAGTCGAAGCTAGACCATGGAGAACCTGAAAGCACTGGATTTAGCAAGAATCTGTTTCATGATAAGAGGTGAACCAACTAAATGAGTGTTTTTTTAATGACCCAAACAGACCATTGTTAATTGAGTATAAGCAGTTGGAAAAAAACCTACTTGATGACTGTAGGTAATATGAGCTAAAAAGATAGAAAACCGTGATAATCAAATCATGATGCACCAAATAAACCTTAAGATCTGAATTTATCACAAGTTTGAGTATGAAATGGGTAAACTTAATCATTGAGGCTATAAACAACACAACTAGAAAGGAAATAAAGCTATTGATTTGGGAAATGACTTTTTACGCAACTCCCTAAAACTACGGGTGTGGTTATCAATCCAAATACCAATTGTTTTCATATCTGGATTAATAAAACGTAACTCGAAACACAATCGGTGTGTAGTTAAATAAAGACCTAAAGGGGAAACTCTCTAATGAGCTCGCTTGTCTTGGCTAATATTAATCATCTAGGTATTACTGAAGATGAAATATTCAATATTAAACTATTTTATTGATTTATTTATCAACAGTGGTACAAGGAGGTAGTATCATATACATATGCGCTACACAATAACAATGAGGCCAGTAATATTGATCATTGATTTGTGTGAGGGCTTTGATACTGCCTGGGTGCCCAAACCGAAACACGTGGTTTTCTTAGGGGGCCACACTCGGAGTCTTCGACCTAAAAGTCTGATCCACAAGGCAGTGGAACGACGTAGGGAGATCCATTCCTATGGTAGCCAGTGACGAATAATTATTACATACACCATTTGTTCCCTCAGGATCCTGGAGCCCTAAAACACTGAATCGGCACCCAACGGTGTTAATGTCTGACTTCCACCAATCCACGATACTGCTCCACCGTCCACCATTGTCTTCATTGAGTAACTGCCTCACAAGAGATACGGTTGCGTGCCACTGGTCACAGCTTTTCACTAAAACTCCAGGAAATTTATTTTCAAGCCAGTTACTACGGAACACATGATAATAATCAGTATAGGGTTGTAAAGATTGCTGAGTTTAGATTGATAGTATGAATGGATCAATGTTAGACCACTGAAAATCTGGAATCACTGGACGGAGTGAGGGATCGTCTAAGCTCACTACTGAATAGTCCCATACTAGGACGAAACGGCCTTCCAGTACTACCAGGTTTTCAAAGATGGTCTAACATTGATCCATTCATGATATTAATCCAAACTCAACAATCTTCACAACCCTTTACTGATTATTTAAGTTAGACAAAGATTGAAAATCTAATTATTAGATGGTGGTTGGAGGTAGTCAACTGGAAACCCTGGACCCGGGTTTCGTGCTACTTGGCACTCGTCAGCAAGGTGTACCTGTAATCTTGAGGGAACTGGTGCTTCCTGGCGGATTCGATCTCGTGTCACCCAGCTTCACAGTCAGAGACGTTACCACTGAGCTATCCGAGCCGTGACTAACCTCCTGTAGGACTGAGATGTAATCACAATTGATTGATCACTGGGTGGTGATCAATCTCATGCTTGTCTAGTCTTTATTAGTGCAGATCGAATGCTATCGATCATGTTCCAATGTAGCTCGGATAGCTCAGTGGTAACGTCTCTGACTGTGAAGCTGGGTGACACGAGATCGAATCCGCCAGGGAGCACCAGTTCCCTCAAGATTACAGGTACACCTTGCTGACGAGTGCCAAGTAGCACGAAACCCGGGTCCAGGGTTTCCTGTTGACTACCTCCAACCACCATCTAATCTCAATACATAGTGCCCGCAGTGTCGAGTCACCTAGACTGGTGGCCACATTGCAAATTAGTCGATAACATTCGATCTGTACTAATAAGGACTAGACAAGCATGAGATTGATCACCACCCAGTGATCAATCAATTGTGAATCTAATTATTACCAATGATTAACAGCCCTAAAATCAATGATGTTACTACATGAACACAATAATAAACATAACCAGAAACATTGTTTGTTTTTAACCTATAATGTGTGTTAAATATATTTTTATTAGATTACATTCATGAAAGAAAAACAAAACATACACTACCAAACAAATCGATCGCATTTTATTTCTTAAAGCCAAAATATACTAGAAATATAATTTAGAAAGAGATCTAAATTGTTGTTGTAAGTTAATACAGGAAGAAGAAGAAGAAGTAGTAGTAGTAGTAGTAGTAGTAGTAGTAGTAGTAGTAGTAGTAGTAGTAGTAGTAGTAGAAGAAGAAGAAGAAGAAGAAGAAGAAGAGGAAGAAGAGGAAGAAGAAGAAGAAGAAGAAGAAACAAGATGAATGTTGTAGTTGAAAATACTCAATAAAAAAACTGTAAAGCACAATGAATTAGTTATTAAACAGTTTAAAAAGGAAAAAACATTATTAATTAATCAGAATTCAACGTTATGAAGAATCTGGAACATATATATTGTTATCTAAATTGGTTCTCATTGCTTATTGTTTGTTAAATTTGTTATGTTCTCCAAGTTTATTGAAGTTTGATGGAGTTTTGTTCTCTGAACTGGATGGTTTGGTCGTGGAGCTTTCATCGTTCTTCTGAACAACATCATCAGCACAAACTTCAGGTAGAAGGTAAGTGTTCGAATTTCTCCACATGTGGTTCACATCTTGTCCTGTAGACCTTAATGTTGATTGGTTGTTGTTGACCATTGGCAGGTTTAAGGTCAACATCCAGTTCAGAGAAAAAAAACTCGATCAAAATCATCCATCTGAACTACAAATCTTCTCCACCATTTCAAGTTCATTGAATATTACCATAAAAACAGAGTTATTCACTTTAAAATTTGACTTTTGTAAAGAATATAAAGCGCTCTTGAAAGTCCCGTCTTTCCAATGATTAATGTGTGAATTATTAACATTGAAATATTGTTGTCTGACAAATGTCCGGTCTATTCGACTTTCTATTTGTCGAGTAGTTATATTAAAACATTCTCGAACGTTCATAATTAAAATTTACCATAGATTAATCTGAAACCCTAATGTATTAATCGTTCCTGTTAAGATGTTAACAAGATACAAAATCATTAACTAATCCCCCTACATCATCATTAAATACACAAAAGCAAAGGTAAAAGTGACACAGAAGTCCCTTGGTTTTAATTCGCCAAGTATATTCAATTGTTAATTTTATAAGTATAACAACAGACAGGCTATAATGCAAACTAAAACAACTCAAAATAACACTCAGTTACTTTGAGCATACAAAAGCCACCTTTCAGTTGAACTATTCTAAGGATTATTTTACCTCAATAATACCAATATAAACAATATTCAATTAATCGGTAATAGAAACCCATTGTCTGAGTGCATCCTGTTCAAGTTATTCCATTACAAGAAAACTTCAGTAACTTAATCAATCACAGACAACGTTAATTCACAAACATATAAACTCATTATTATTCAAACATTCTCCTCAGCTAGTTACTATTACATGTATAAGTACATACATATAGGTATAGAATACTTACCTCGATGAATAACAAACAAGGCCAATGCAGCAGTATTTTTATAACAATTCCTTCCATGAACAAGTAACAATTGTGTAACATGTTTAAATTGTGCTAAACTGAAATCAGATGCTAGACTAGCCTGTCGACCTTCTTTACCTAAAGACCAAGACCAAGATCAGATGCTTGAATCATGCCAACATCATTGCCTCCATCACCGATAGCTGCTACTCTTGCTTTCGTATGATATCTTAATAAGGTGACAATTTGTGTTTTCTGTGTCGGTGAACAACGGCATACAACTACAGCCGGTGATTGTCTTGCCAATTCAACAAATTCATGTTCATAAAATCTTAAGCATGTCTTATACACAGAAAAAAACACAAAAAGACATGATAACTACGGTCAATATCAGTGAATTTATATAATACACATGTGTGTAAATCAAATAGACATATATATCACTAAGAGAAAATACAGTGTATATAAGTTATTATTATATTATTAGACAAAAATGGTCACTATGCCTTTCCGACAGTTACAAATAAAATAGGGTTAAATTCATGTTATCACAACAACAAAAATTGCAATAACTAAAACCCACCGATTATCTAACATTGTTTGCATTAGGTTTAAAAAATTGTGAAATATTCAAGTCTATTGCTTGTATAACAATATTCATAGTAAATCATCATTACTGGAAACCAACTACAAAACCTGAAGAAGTATGTATATTCCTTATAAGTGCCCAACTTGTAAGGGTTGAGAAAAATGTTGATGAACATCAAACAGAAAGTGATTTACTTTGAAAATAAAGGCATACCAACCAACCTCCCATTAGTAAAAGAGACATGTTTTATTACTTATTGATTTATTTATTTGAACACATAAACAATGCACCACACAGTAACAATAAGGCCAGTTAGTAGTTATCATTGATGTGTGTGAGGGCTGTGATATTGACCGAGTGCTCAAACCGAAGCAGCCATTACAGATTTCAGATATCGAATTTCGAACAACAAACTACAGGTTGGAAATTGATTTCGTGTAATTCAATTTGAACAATACAACAATACAATAAATGACTATCATCAGACGCATAACACTAGATGAGGTGCACCATGGTATTCACGTAATCAGTTCAGTTGCTATTATGTAATTTTTGTAGACAAAATGAATACATTAACAAGCATAAAATGATTACTTTTGATTACCAGTCAGGACACAACAAGCAATATTTTATTCACATTTTCCAACTATTTTAAGTATGCCATTAGAGAAACGAAATTTAACTGGGACAACAGATAAAATTGTCGTGAGATATGTAATGTGGGTAGTTAGTGGTTAGTCAGAACAAGGATGTCACAATGAATAGCTATCTAGAACTAAGACTGAGGTACTTGTGTTCCAGATGTTACCATGTATGCTTATTACTGCATTCGTTAAGTAAAAAACTATGCAATCATGAGTGATAATATACTGATTGTACAAACAAACAATGTGCTCGGTTTATAACAATGACAATAATTTGTGAAAACAATAAATAGTATATATGTGAGATAGTGAGAAAACAAATTTACTTACTTCCATTGATGTTCCAGTTAACAATAAGGCATGATCACAACGTTTACGAAAAGCGTTCAATTCTAAATGAGCTTCCATTCGACCACTAACTGATTTAAATATATACATAGGTGTATCACGACTGACTAAACGAGAAGATTTAGCGATACATGCAGCTGTTTCAAGTTTATCCCCAGTCAACATCCAAACACGTATACCAGCATTTCTTAATGCTTCTAATGCAGGACGAACCTAAATATTTTTTTAGAAAGAAAAACAAAATATACAATCCAATAGAATGGAGACACAACAAAATTATATTGTGGATGTTATTATCAGTCAGGTGTAATGTAGAAACTGGCACATATCTGCATTGGTTCAAGTTTCCATATTACATTAGTACATCGAGATAAAAGATTATCAAGGCAAATACCTGAGTAGAAAAAGTACTAACAATATAAAGTCAAGTGCTACTTGGTACGAAAGTTTACGAAACATATACAGAAAAGCTTCTTAACAGAATAATCAGAAATAATAACTAAGTTAATCGACTATTCATATATTTAGGCATTATTTGTAACACAACTCTATTGCTTAACTACTAACTAAACAACTAATAGAAAGTTCCATTTGAAAGTCCTATACATTGTACAAGAGTGAGCTAAGTTTCCTAGGCACAGTTCATTCACCAGCTACCCAGACGCGCGATGTTGGAGAGTGTAGGAGTAGATTGGAAGAAAGCTAGGGGTGGTCGAACTAAAACATTGCATACGTCCATGAAAACACTGACTGTAGGTAGGTACAGACTATGTAGTTGTGATCCGCATGATTATCGCAACCAATAGTTAAAGACTTTAAATGGAATGGCTAAAATTCTATCTCAATAGTCCAGATGCATCCATCCTAAGTTTCTAAACTTCTCGTAAAATTTACTTTATTATCTGATTAGTTCATATTTTCTCCTCAAATTGTTTCTTAGATGCCTAGTCTTTTTTATTACCACTAATAATTTATTATTATTGTTATTATTATTATTATTATTATTATTATTATTATTACAGGATTTTCCCTGACGATTTCATCTCTGTGCTAATAAAGGGTATGGGAACTTGAACTGACGTACAAATATACCAGGTTCTGCTTTGTGTATAACTGACTAACTATATATCTATTCTACTACCATAAAGAACAACATCTGAATAGAAAACAACCTTGTGCACCCATATAACCTTATTATTATGTTTAACTACTGAAGATGTTGATCTAAAAGTTGTAAATAAAACCCGTGTAGTTTTAACTCCATAGTAATAAAACTTGAAATCAACAGGTCCGGAGTTCACGCTCACTACACTATAGTTTGAAGAATTTTAATATGTATTATATATACAATGAAATATTTGACATGAACAGTTTACTTCCTATCAACTTACTCCATCTTGAAGTTTATCTTCTACTCCTGTTAAACAGAGAACTTCTAAATTTGTTTCTAAAGTTGCTACAACTGACTGCATTTTTTCGACACGATCAGTTAAAGACATTTTAGCGCTATGGTATCTACATGTGAAAAAAAAGAAAACAAGCAATTCAGAAATAAAGTAAAATACAGGGAATGTAAACTGATATTAAGCAAAACAAGGTAATGGAAATTCTTGCATGAACTGATTCATAGTACACACATTTAGATTGTGTACAACAGTGGTTGTTATAAGTATGAGGGCGGTTATTACATCACCGTTGCCCACACCGTGGAAGGGTTGTTCTGGAGGTACGTGAAAAGGAAATTGGATTATAGATGGTCTTAATGACCTGAAAGCGTGACCGCAGTGCCCAAGGGACAACTGCCTGAGGTCGGTCACACACGACCATTTTGTGGGTAATTTTCGTGTCAGCTCCGTACATGTCGAGACCTTACCGCCGAAGACGGATATCTGTGGGATAAGGCGAGGTGTGCATTTTTAGGGTCGACCTTTTCTAACCCCACCCATCCTTGTGGAAGGCACCACCGCTGTCATGCTGGTTGTCTGAGGGAAGCACCTTACTGCCGTCACACCTCTGTACAGTCAACAGTACGACTTCGCCTTCGGACCTTAGGTTTGTTGCTTTTAGTCTTACCGCTGTTTAACCGACCTGTCTGGCATGGTAAGGTTAGTCTTCCTAGGGAAATTGGAAAACCCTAATTATAGACTACCAGTATATCTTAAGATCTTAATATGGTGGTTGCCAGCTGCCAAATACTAAAATGAGCTACTTACAATAATTGCTATCGCACTATTAGTAAACATAAATCGGTAGTGGTTGAAATTACAAGAGCAATAACAGTACAGATAGATATAATAGTATATATTACCGCATGAAACAAGCACATGAAAATATGTAATTTTAAATGTATGTGAAATATAAATGAAAAACAATGAACACTAGAAATATATATGTGTACCGTTGTGCGAAATCTGAGTATTGTTCTTCAGTTAAAGTACGCGAAGCGACAACCAATGTTCGTAATCCTTCTCTAGCCAAATTACCAGCTTCATCTTCTAACCAATCCACATAGGATACAAGACTACTCATAACAGTATCTGCACCTTTAACATAAAATATTATTCTTTTGGATGAATAATCACGTACAATAATACCCATTCGTTTAGATTCCGATGAAAATGGAAATAAATTCAAGATTTCATACTCAACAAAAGAGTCTGAAGAAAAGAAAACGTAAAACATTTAGGACAATATATTGATAATTAGGTTTAGTAGGTTAATTAAATTATCAATTAGTATGAATATGTCATAAATGTAATAGAAGAGAGAACATACCATTAGGTAGACGTAATCGCATTCTGTGCAAGTCACGAAACACAAGTGTTACACCAACAGTTGCAGTCCATGAAACAAGAGCTACTTCATCAGGTGAACTAGCTTGATAACCAATTGGATCAGATAATTCTACCTAGAAAATTATGAATACACCTAATATATAATGTGTTGTTTATAAAGGGACAGATAAAAACAATACGCAGTTCTATCTTGGCACATCGTATTGATAGCGGTCATACTGTAGATAAATCGAAATCATTTCGAGTGATCTATCGTATAGCTCCATCATTTCGCAACAGAGTTCGTTCCCACCTCCTACATATAGCTGAAGCCATAGGAATTCGTACATATAACTCCAATTTATATGTACAGAAAAAATTCGTAACCCCCTTATGCTTTCCATGGCCAGTTATAACTTAATAAACGATTTTTTTAGATTTTTATTACTATTATTATTTATTTATTTTATTCTATTTTTGTTATCATTAACCTTGTTTTCACATCTAGTATTTGTTTGTAATTTTCCGCCTCTTTCCGTTTGTATTCTTCACTATCTAATTATTTACACACTTCGTACTACGTAGTAATGTTAATGTTTCGTGATGACTATTCCAAGTCTACTTGCCCACGTTTGACCTTCTATTTCCAACGTTTAACCATTGTCATCAGTGAGTTACTACCTCACAATTGACCCGGTTGAACTCCACTGGTCACTGCTTCTCACTAGAACTCCAGGATATATATCTTGAAGCCAGTCACTAGTGAGCATATGTTGATCATTACTACTATCAGTACACCTGTCTTCCCTACTATCAACTTGTATTTTTACGTATTATGTGTGGTGACCTATTCTATTTCATTATGATTATTGACCCAAATTGCCTTGATTAGTTTAACATTTTCATATAAATATTCATGTATATTAGAGTAAAGGCCTGATGAAGATCTAATTGAAAACAATTGTTCGCTTATATTATAATATTATGATAAGTATTGATATTTGTATATATTACGATAGGTTTATTTGTTTTATGAAGCTTTCAGCACCAGATTGTTAATGTTTAACTAAACACTGCATCAAAACACAACAATTGGTGTCGAGAAATCTACACGTCTAAAAAGATCATGCTTATGAAATTATAAATCTATGATTAGTTTGTGTGAGTTAATTTACAATATATCAACGAAATTAAGTTAGTTTACTCGGCTTTGAGCTCTGCAATTTTTGTATGCGAACTAGTGAAACTATTCAGTGTAAAAATATTTGAAGGTTAAATTCTTTAACGACTATGATAGTGTTCAATGAGATTAATGGATAACAACACTTTGTAACAGTGGATCCGGCTACCGCTAGTTTACACATATTCAATTTTCAAACTACATATATATGCCAATTTAGGAAACCAAATTATATCTATAGTTTATACACAATATACATAGCTTATAGCCTATTACTGCATAAAGATTTAATTTTCGGGTTGATAAATGTACGTTCAATTGGTTGTTCTCAATTGATTACAACACGTAAAAATTACTTCAATTTGTATGATATTCACATATGTATTCGGCGGTGCGTTTTATAATTCCAAGAATTCTATCGTCGTTACGGACAAAAACATCATTATGCTCTACTTTAATACAAAACCAGTTTAAATATGTTTACCTGAACAAAAAACTTTCAACAACACCTAATCTACAACATATAAGAAGTTAGGTATAACAACAGAATTAAAAATGGATGCTTTGTTTCAACCAGTTTTCAGTGCCTTCATTGATATCGCAATCTAACACCTGTCACTTTGATTGACAGAGGAGTATTCACTTAAAAATATCAATCCCTTGATTAACGGATACTAATCAATATTAGAGTGTATATTTTAAAGTTGACTTTCTTCTGGATTAAACTTACTAACCCCGAGTATAAGGAATGTTTATGAACTAGATCATATTCTACCTTTTGAAGCAATAGGCATGCAGTTTGAGGCTGACTGAGACTCGTGTATATCTAACTGAACGAACAGATAGCACAACGAGATTGATGATTTCACCATAAAATAAAAACAAGATATGACTGCAAGTAATGAATGGAGTCAATATTGTAAAAGACGGATCACTTTAGGTCTTTAAAAACGTCCAAGCCCTATTAAAATGTGTAACTAATCTAATCTGTTCCAAGGTTTACTCTTCAAATTTCGTGGGGAGAAAAAGAGATCGGTCATTAACAGCACAGTATTTCGGTTCGATCGATAAAATAAAAATGAACAATTCTGAATTCTATTTAATCGTACATTACTTACCATAGCCATAGCTTCTTTACTCCCTCCACCTGGTACATCAATCGATCCAGGATTTGAATAAGTTTCTGTCATCGGTGTAACATTATGGCATATAGCTATGGCTAATACTGCATCAGCCATACGTTCATTGGTTGTACGACGAATTTGACGAGTTAATTGATCTGATAAATTACCGATTGTGGGACCAGCAGTGAAATGATTACGCAATCCTTGGACAACCTCTTCCATGGAATCTGATGCAAAAGCTACACTGCCTAAATGTAACTTTTTAAAAACCATTTCATTTTGTGTAAGTGTACCAGTTTTATCTGACATTAAATAACAAATACGACCCAATTCTTCAGGTATATTGGTATTACGAACAAGGCAGTTTGGCAGGGATTTGTCGCGCATTATCATAAAAGAGTATACGATTTTTGCCAAATCCATATTAACACGCAATCTGGAAGAATTAAAGATTTCATAATAACAATAATAATAATAATGAACGATGGATTCTTTACAGTAAAATAAAGCCTCACAAATAAAAATTATACCACCAATGAGTTTTTCTGGAACGTAAACACTTTGACAAACACCTAGTATGGAATCACCTAAGAATCATTTTCAATTAAATCTGGGATACACCATCAGTATTAAATGTTGATCCCTACAATGTTCGAATCCACAAACTTTCAGACCTAATGAATAGTAACAGTCAGTAGAGTTAACCTAAGCTAGAATATATATATATATATATATATATATACAAATTCACCCCATTACACAAGCAAGTGGTTATCAGGACTCAGTAGCTAAGTGAATAACGCGATGGCGTTTGAAGCGGAAAGTACTGGGTTCGAGTCCAGGGCTGAACATTAACTCCGGGATGAAGGCACATCCTGCTGACGAGTCCCAAGTAGGACGAAACGCGCACCTGGATACTACTGCTAGCCACCGAACATATTTATATGACGTCAGCCGGTTGAAGTTAAATGTTTTCAAACATTCAAAGAAAAAGACCCGCTCGTGAAAAAAGTCCAAAAGAACCGAAATGGTTTCACAGTCGATGTGAGTACGCGATATTTAGAAAAAACAACCTTGATAAATCTAAACTGTCTGGCATTATCAAGCATCACTTCCTTTTACATTACCTTTGATTTCGTTGACCGTCATCGCCTACGAATACATTGTGGACAATCAAGTTTTCTTCGCTTATTACTGTATTAGGGTCATCCCGACCGTTGTTGCTACCTTGACGTGGTGGTCGGGCTTGCCTATCGTGATGAAGCAACCGAGCTATACTGGCTGGAACAACCGTTCCTCAAGGTCCTACCATGTCAGACAGGTCGGTTGAAGAGCGGTAAGACTAAAAGCAACAAACCCAAGGTCCGAAGGCGAAGTCGTACTGCTGACTGTACAGAGGTGTGACAGCAGTAAGGTGTTTCCTTCAGACAACCAGCATGACAGCGATGCTGCCTTCCCACAAGGAGGGGTGGGGTTAGAAAAGGTCGACCCTAAAAATGCACACCTCACCTTACCTCACGGATTTCCGTCTCCGGCGGTAAGGCCCTTTGAAGAACGGAGCTAACACGTCAAAACCTCTCACGAAAAGGCCGTGCGCGACCGGCCTCAAGCAGTTGTCCCTTGGGCACTGCGGTCACGCTCTCAGGTCACTGAGACCACCTCTAATCCAATTTCCTTTTCAGGTACCTCCAGAAGAACCCTTCCACGGTGTGGGCAACCGGGAAGTGATAACCGCCCTCATACCTCTAACAGCACCCAAGACCACTGTATTCATAATCAACCTTCCTCTTCAATTCCTATTATTCCTCCTACATCGACTTTCAACCCTAAACTTCCTCCTTCGGCTTCCTCCTCAAGTGTCACCATAGCCAACGATTCTAGTGCTCAAACACTGTCCCAGGTCTACTGAAACCTCGCTCCAAACTACACATTGGAGCCTTCAACGTACGCACCCTATGTCAAATCGGTCAGCAGGCTTCCTTGGCTAAAACCCTAGAGTCTCTTTCCATTGATGTATGCTGTGTCTCCGAAACACGCATACAGGATTCCAGTGTGGTCATTCACTTGACCTCACCTCGGCAAACGGAGAGCCAACGAGATACACCCTTCGTGTATCTGGTGACCCGATGGCAGTTCTCGTGGACTGGCAGGTGTAGGCATAGCACTAAGCATGAGGGCGAACAAGCACTGCTAGAGTGGATCCCCGTCAACAGTCGTCTATGTGCTGTTCGGCTAAACGGCTCGTAAGAACTCGGAAGGATAGGGACACACGTCGTTGCCTTTTTGTCGTTTCTGCCTACGCTCCCACTGACTGCAGCTCAGATGAAGTGAAAGATGAATTTTACAGAAAGCTTCCGAACTTCTTCAGAAAGCTAAACGCTCAGACATAGTACTCGTAGGGTGATTTTAATGCTCAGATAGGTAGTTTAAACCAAACAGAAAGGCATTTAGGTGGATATTTTAGTATTCCGACACAGCGAACAGATAATGGTGATCGTCTGCTGCAGCTATGCTCAGACAATCGTTTATTTTTAGCAAACACAAATTTTAAGCATAAGGAGAGACATCGTCTAACATGGCGACCCCCTACACCAAACCAACGATGGACTCAAATAGACCATATTGCCATCAGTCATCGTTGGAGAGGGTCGGTAGAAGATTGTCGCTCATTCTGGAGTACCTGCTTGGACTCCGACCATGCCCTAATACGGGCACGCATCTGCTTGCGCCTCACTGGACGCAAAAAAGCCACATTAAAAAGACCCATTAGAACTGAGTTGAGTAACGAGAAAACCAAAAGTAGGTTCCAGGAACAACTGAGGTCACACTTAGGTAGTTCTGAAGACGAGGCTGACCCAGATGTTGCTTGGAAAGACATACAAGCAGCTGTGGAAACAGCAGTGACATCTATTAGCGACTTAAACCACAGAGTTACAAAGAACCAGTGGATTTCTTCAAAGTCTATCACACTGATGGATTCTCGCAAACTCGTCCCATCAGGTTCCGAACATGATGAAGAGCGACAACAAATCAGATCTAGGTTAAGAAAAAGTCTAAGGAACGACCGTGAGCAGTGGTGGGCAACGAAAGCAAAAGAGATGGAAAAGGCGGCGACTATAGGGAACACAAGACAGCTTTACAGACTAATAAAAGAAACTGGAATTAATAAGTCAAGTGTAAGTGAGATTATTTCGGAAAAAGGCGATACTCTCATCTGCTCCCAGTCCAGACGTTTAGAACGATGGGCGGAACATTTCAGAGAACAGTTCAGCTGGCCTTCAGCTACTCTACAACTACCCTCCATTCCCAGACAGTGAATGGAACATTGAAGTAGGTCCCCCAACTCTTGCTGAAGTTCAAAAGGCTATAGTTAATCTGAAACGAGGAAGGGCAGCTGGTCCAGATGGACTGGCTCCAGAAGTCTTTAAGGATGGTGGTCCAATTTTAGCGATTAGGTTGACTAATATTTTAGCTAAGATCTGGGAGTTAGACGTTATCCCATCTGACTGGTCACAATCACTTATCGTCCCAATATATAAGAAAGGGTCAAAATCATCCTGTGACAACCACAGAGGGATTAGTTTAACAAACATAGTATCTAAAATACTGGCCTCGATAATTATCAACGCCTAACTAAGACTCGTGAACTACAAACACGAGAGAACCAAGCTGGCTTTAGACCTGGTCGTGGCTGCATCGACCACATATTCACCATTCGTCAGGTTCTAGAACACAGGCATACTTATCGGCGTCCGACAATGGTGGTCTTTCTTGACTTAAAAGCAGCATTTGACTCTGTAGACCGCGAGATTCTGTGGCAGTGTCTGTCATTGAAAGGCGTACCTCAGAAGTACATAAACCTTGTGAAGGCTCTTTACTCGAACACTACTAGTCGAGTCAGAGCTTATGGCGAACTGTCATCTACCTTTGCAACCTCAAGTGGTGTCCGTCAAGGCTGCCCACTTTCTCCATTTTTGTTTAACTTCATCATAGACCTATTGATGGAAATAACACTCTCGTCGACTGAATTCTCGGGTATTGATCTCCTTCCAGGAGGTCCACTTATCGACTTAGAATACGCAGATGACATAGTCCTGTTTGGTGAAGACGCTGACAAAATGCAGAGTCTTCTGGTAGCACTAAGCAACAATGCCAGAATGTTTGGAATGCGCTTCTCTCCCTCTAAATGCAAGTTGTTGCTTCAGGACTGGTCTGCGTCAACACCTGAACTAAGGATAGGGAGTGAAGTAGTCGAACGCGTTGACAACTTCACTTATCTTGGAAGTCTGATCAGCCCTAATGGGTTGGTGTCTGACGAAATCTCAGCACGGATTCGTAAAGCTCGTTTGGCTTTTGCCAACTTACGTCACCTTTGGCGGAGGCGAGATATCCGTCTATCAATAAAAGGACGAGTATACTGCGCGGCAGTCCGTTCTGTTTTAATTTACGGCAGCGAAACATGGCCTTAAGAGTAGAAGACACCCGTAAGCTACTAGTATTTGACCACAGATGCCTTAGAAATATTGCTGGCATCTGCTGGGATCACCGGGTAAGTAATAGTGAGGTTAGACGCAGGGTATTAGGGAATGATGGTAAATCAGTTGATGAGGTTATGAATCTTCATCGACTGAGATGGTTGGGCCACGTGTTACGTATGCCTGAACACCGATTACCACGACGTGCAATGCTAACCGGTATAGGGGATGGTTGGAAGAAAGTTAGGGGCGGCCAAACCAAAACGTGGCATCAGTGCTTGAAGTCACTAACTTCTAGTCTGAGCCATGTTGGTAGATGCAGACTACTTGGTTGGGGTCCGCGTGACTTTCGTAACCAATGGTTGGAGACTCTTGGTGACATGGCTCAGAATCGATCACAATGGCGTCGGTGTATACACTCCCTGTCTTCCCTTAAACTAAGAGATTAAAATCACTTCATATCTTTCTTTCTACGAACCAATTCTTTCTTCTTGTATTATATCTCTATATGCAATCTTTCTCTTATATATTACCACCTTTGACCTAACCACTGCTATGAATCCGGTGTTCATCTTGTTGTGCTGATGCGGTATGGCAACCTGGACCGATGCACATATGTGCCTGGTCCTACGTTGTAGCTGACTGACTGACTGACTGTATTAGGGTCATATTGAGATGACTTACCGAGGATCTATGAATATAGTGGGAGCTTCAGAATCTCACTAGACTTCCTTAACAAATAAAGTGACATTGTCGTGCTACCCCCTGACTCGTGAACAACCTATGCCACATTTAACTGGTTGGCCATTAGTTCTTCTGTTGTCTCCAAAGAATTGCTCACATATGGTAGCAACACCATGTAAGTGATTCTGATGTCTAGCAATCTATACTTAAGCAGTATCGATAAGCTGACCAGTCTCATCGTCTTGAAACACAATCTACGAAGAATTACACATGTTTCACAAACATCCCCTTGATAGAACCCATAACACCCACTTGCGTACGCCTGAACTTCATGAAAAAAGGGGAGAGGTTATCATAGAATGAAGGATGGTTGTCGGACTAGGACCCGCTGATTCGTTCCTTATTAATGTCCAACTGAAGTCAAAAATATTACACAACTAAGTTTTCCATTTCTCCTAAGTAGATACTCCATGTCCACCAACCCGGTTAAAGCGCCGGATATTCGCTTCTCGACTTCTTAATTTCGTAAGCAGCACCCCTGCCACGAGAAGGCGGTGAGAAGGACTTCCCTGAGAGTGGTTGTATGCATGTGGCCATGTGAGAGCATTTAGAGAAGGAGAGTTGACTCTCTCCACTCTCGGCCGTACAAAGGCATTTGGGGTAATTATGGAATTCTATAAAATGTATTTTAAAATTAAGAAAACTTGTGCACAAAAAAATAATTCATGCAAGTACAAAATATTTATCTAAAGAAAAAAATACTTACGCCAGAGGAATAATGTAAGAGAATAAAACAACAAAACGCCACCAATATTTATACCAAGATCCACTGAAACCTTTCAGTGCAACCATGATAAGAGCTAGAAGTACTAGGATACAGAATAAGAGTTTTGTGATATTGTTAATCTCTTGATCGATTTTCCCACGTTTTGTACGTACTCTACTTGAATTCATTACTGCACGTGTTTCTGATCCTGTGTATATGACCAAGCCAATAGCACTTCCAGTAGCTAGTACAGTGTTGGACCAGAGTGTGTGATCAATATTTAATGAAACTTCTGATGCTTCAGAATCTGTTGGTGAAGTAGGATTGACATCTGTACGAACGAACGTTCCTTCGAAATTATGTATACTCTGTCTCGGCGCTTCAGCATAAACTTGAGCCTGAATAGTACACAAGAAATAGAAAAATATGATGAATACAGGACATTGAATATTGGGCAGTACATGAAGTAAGGCTTTCCCCTTATCTATATAAGTTGAAAAACGGATTAGTGAAAATTCAAGAAATCAACTCCATAAACGAAGACAAGCTTAACATGTCATTATCTTCTTAAATAAGATAGTTGGTGACAGTTAAATTCTGTCATACACCATCTATCTAAGAATTAAAATTCTACTAGAATGTTAAACGACTTAAAATAGTTTCTGTTCCATTATGCATAAATAACAAGCTAAAATATTTCTCTATAGTTCCCTTAACTTCAAACTTATCAAATTCTCGATGTTGGTTAGGAATCTCTTGAAAGCCGGTAACATTTTATTATCGACTAGTCAATATGAATGGTTGTTTTTCATGTAATTAGATTGATGTGACTTTAGCAACAAAAAATAAAATAAAATGAGCATTGGGTAAAGAGTTGGTAATAAATGTATTGTTTGTTATGTATTTCTGACGTTTCGTGACTTGATGTAAGCCGCTTCTTCAGAGAAATACAATTCTTCTACTCATTGGTGCATAACAAAAAAAGTGATGTTCGAGGCTCAGTTGCTATAACCAATCGAATAAATTTTCCTATGGAGGGACCTAGTGGGTGGTCTTGAAGTGTAGTAAAAAATAGATATAAGTATTGCCTACTTATTACTTAACCTCTTCTATGAGAACAAGCCATTAAGTGACTATAAAGAAGTTATTCATTCCACAGTGAAGGGTCAGATTTTTGTGAAATGATCGTGCATAAATACAAATGTCAGTCATGTTTCTAATATAACGATGACGTCAAAAGTAAACAATTACACACGAGTCTATAAAAGCAACGAACTAATAAACAGTTTAAATTGGAGTCAACCATGGCAACTTTTGGCTAACAACTGGATAGCCAATCTTAAATCAAGACTCTTTCAAATAAAGCAATAATACATCTAATTAAAAGCTGTACCAGTTAAAACGTCAAGCGAAGTTGGTAGTTTTGTAATCCAGGATCATGAAACAGCACATAATAATGAAAATCGTACATATATTTTATTTTCAAGTACCCAACTCATTATTTATCCCATGCAATCTCATGATTAACTAAACTCAACACTCGACAGCATTTGTTCTGGAACTATTACAAATGATCAGTACAAACACAAATACTTCATCATTAATAGCATTATTGTGATTTTTCGTTGAGCATACTGGGACACCGGTTTCAGTTGTCACAGTAAATATATCAATCTAATTAACTAATGAACAAGATTCAAACAACTGATCTGTAGCCTTTGTTACTTATCAAGCTTCACCAACAGCGTGTGAAATAATGATTTATGCACAGTTAGTCAAATAAGGTACACGAAAGAACAACAAGATGCAAACTTATAGTTGGTATAAATCAGTAAAAACAAAAGGAAGAACCTCTCTATTTCTTAACAAACAATTTAAAATCATCATCATTAAAGCTGGAATAAATAGGTTAGCTGATAATGTGTTTAGAATTTATTGGGCAATAAGAAGTATGGAAGTATTATTCTACTATCAATTTTGTTGTATCAATTATTTAGGTCCTTTTTTCTTCCTAAACTTACGAACACTGTTAATTTCAAATGATAAATTTGAACTAACAGAGAAAAGTCAATACACTTACTTCCATATCCCACAATGAACTTGGATGACCAGTACGGTTGACAAAAGCATGTGTAGTTGGTATAGCATAACGTAATTTCCAGTCAGTCTCACCGTCAAGTTGATCTGTCCGTATAAAACAAGAACCATTTCGATCTGATGTCCATATTAAGATCATATCTGCTGGAACTCGTTGATTCTTCTCTAAACGAATAAGATCACCAACCTATTATAACCGAAAAACGAATACTAACTGTGAAACACTGAATTCAGAGCACAAGTATTAAATACATTAAACTTAACCAACAGAAAGATACCAGGTTAATTTGGTAACAAACACAAAACAAGTACGTTGTGATATAGAAAAATTGTGAATTAAGATGTTTAAAAATGTTAATTAAAAAAAGAATACAGTTACTTTCACGGTTCTCGACATTTCTAACAATTAATGATTGTTTGGATAAGGTTTCCGAGACTATGAAACATAGAGGGCTGTACGAAATAAAACTATGAATTTATAAGGAACAGGAGGAAAGGTCATTTATTCAATAAATAACGAAAATAGAATAGTGTTTATTAGAAACAGAGTTTGGGTGGAAAAAGTAGATGAAACAAATTTAGATCAGTTACAGGTTGCGATTTACCTTTATAAAAAAGAATGAAGCGTAACAATCCAAAAGTCAGAGTTATCTCCGAACCTTTGCTGAGTTAGGTGGGTCATTGGTGGTCACCTGTTGAAGGGCTTAGGATAGTCTTGTTAATTTCTCTGAGGCGGAGTCAGTTGGACTTCTGCCCAACTCACATTAATCCATTTAAGGTGACGAACCTGTTGGCCACGAGGACATATGAGTTCAGTGCATACTAGGGTACGATTAGAATCCTGAAATGTTTTCCAAATGGAATAGTAGTCTTTTGCATATTTGTGCAGTCGGTAGACAACCACTCGAACTACAGGGTCAAAATGTCAGGTAACAAATTGGAGATGATTTTGTCAAAAGTCAGTATTGGTTTTAAAAAATGAGTTGCGATTTAAGCAAAGCTGAAGACAGTTCCTATTATTTAACCTGAGATTAGTAAGTGAAAACTCATGACCCAAAACATCCCCTTCTGAGTTTGAACGTGCATCTAGACAATTAGGTCCTCAGGTTGCAAAGCAACATCTGTCAAGTGTGTCTTGTTGAGGATTTCATTATTTGACAGCAGAATTCATCATTTGCCTCATCTAAGTAGCCCTCTGACGGTTCATAGACAGAGACTAGGAAAAAACAGCGTTTTTCAAGCCGGTTTCTTTGGTCTCTGATTGAACTATCTAACCTAACAACCCAAAAAACAACTGTTAACGTGAATACAACCAAGTGTTCTCTCCACTTTGACAAGGTCGAACATCAGTCACAGGATTTATAGATAAGTACATGGAGAACCTGTTTTTAAATCGGTAAATGGGACAGAAATTTACAGTGGTTAGTTGGAGCCCAAATTAAAAGTTTCAGAGATAAAGTATACGTCAATAGTGAGACACCACAGAGTTTAAGCAAACGCTCTCTAGTACCCAATCTATATCAACAAGCAAAAAACTAGGGCAAGAAGTTTAAAAGGTACATATCTTTTCACAATACATATATCAGACATCGTAGTCAGTAATAGCTTTCAGACAGCAAATATTCAATGAGATAAGACCGTTTGGGATTGGAACAATTTTCAAAAGAAATTATCTGATATATTAAAGAGTAGAATTAGTGTAGAAATAAGTAGAACTCAAATGAAAATAAAACGGAGTAGCGAGTAAAATTGATTAAAAATAAATGTGGATATAATAAATTCACTATGACTTTTATCACTAGTGAGTCTGAGTGTGCAACGTGACCACATCATTAGCATCATTGGTAATTATTACCAACTGTGTGAAGGCTTTGATAATAGGTACCTAAACCGACAGAGGTGGTTTCCTTAAAAGTCACAACGCTTCAAACAAGATTACGATCTTATGGTCTGATGCACAAGATGTCTGGCAATATCAAGAGACGCAATCCCGTGGTGCCCAGAGACTAGAGTAGTTCTGTACAGCATTCATCTCCATATGATCCTTTAGTCTGTGAGGACCATTGGTTCAGAATCAAGATTCTCTAACTTCGTTAGATTGACTCACTGTATCTACTTCCCCAGTGCAGTCTTTGGACGACGGCTCTCACTTTTGTAAAGAAAACCGCTAAGGGAAGACAATGAGTATGGTCTCTTTAAGAGTCGTTTTGAGTAGTATGGGTGAACCAAAGTGCCAGTATTACCATGAGTTGTATACACTTACGGATTATGAAAAGTTGGTTTGCAGTGGTTGTACATTTGGGATTACAAGTGTTTTAATTAGCACAACTCAATACACAATTCAATACAATGTTCAAGAAGGCTTACTTTGATATCTGAACTCATAACGGAAACTTCTTTGTTGCGGACATACTTTCCATAGATAGCCATATTGACATCGCGATCACGAGACCATCTTCCAATGTCATCTACCGCTTCTCGAATCATGGTTACTGCAATCACAAAACCAAGTGGCCCCCAATATGTGTACAGACGACCCACACCAAGTTCGGGAATAAATTGACTACATGCAATTACAAGGAAGACGAGATTTAAAAATACGCTGAACTGTTCAAAAGAACCTGAAAAGTACAAACAAATGAAGTACATAGATTCGCTATTAACAATTAGTGAAAACACGAAAACCACAAAAGTAACAACCTATAAATTTGTAACTATGTTGTACAAATAGTAAACCCATACCAAATAAACTTTCAGATATGAACAAATAAATTTTCAGGATATCCTCAAACAGCAATTCAGTACTATTGGTAGTCAGCAATCTGGTGTATATGAAACCTTACAAACACTCTCATTTCCTAAGTGGTTCAAAACTGTGTTGTGTACCCTTGGTTTCAGGATGATTCCTAATAAGTTTATGTGAATGTGTAAGTCTCCCATCACAACATTAAGCGGTTTAGGACTAAATCTCACAAAAAATATAGTTTGCTGAAACATTGGCTACAGATTAATAACGAGTAAAAACAATTTTAATTAACGATTATTAGGTTCTCCACTTGCTGTACCTACAATCTTTCGGAATGCAGCAACTGAAACAAAGGCTCTTTGAGTAGAGTTAACATGGATTAGTCAAACTATACCCGTGAAATAATTCCCTTAACTACTATTTATCGATTAACTCTTCTAAATCAGAATAATTTCAAATATACAGTTAAAGGCATTTATAAACAGAGTGTAAAAACATACCGTATTAAGAACAACTAGTAGCCAAAAATAAAGAGTACTTTTAAATTTGGTTCATAATAGTGCTGCTGAGCATAGTCCCTAACAAAACCAATAGACCGTCACAAATTCTCCTTATCTATACTGTATAGGGATAAACTCATACTCAGCTTTGAGTCAACCTAAGTATGATAGTCACTGATACCCCCGGACTTCCCAAACCAAAGTAACGGTGCATAGTTCGTATCAACAACTCGGTTGACAGTCAGGCGGCTTAATTACTAGGCCACAGCTCAATATACCCATTATCTACAATATAACTTTAATAAGAAAATTACACTTGAAAGACCGTTTATGATATTTCTAAGCTAATGGTGTAAATGAACTACACTGAAGTACAAATCGATCTAGTTAACTGGTAATTATCAGAATTCAAGTTGGAGATGCTCTACCGTTATGTAAGTAGAATTAGTACCAAGGTTAAATGAGCACTAATTCAAAATCTAATCAACTTTAAAACGTAACTGCTACACTCACCAAGGAATGAAACTTATTACATTATACTTTTGATTATTGATCCGATTTGAAGGAAATTTCTGAGTCTTCGATGGTCTACCAACATTAACTACACGAGCATGGTAGACTTTTGGACCTCGACAATTTCGACAACAACCAATGCAACTGAAATAATATAAAAAGTTACGAAGCAATCGATCAGATGCAGTGTAATAAGATAAAAGAAAGTGATATAAATAATGGTGGAAACTGTTATAAGACTGATTAACACTAAACGGTGACATATCATATGATATAAATGTGATCAACGTCAATAAATACTATTACCGAACCTGATGGGTTTTGTACAGATGGGTATAATTACGAGTAGCTGAGATGCATATCAGTAGTGACAGGGGCATTTAGAAAGCTGGACAGTAAACACAATAACAAAGCCTGTCAGCCAACTGATTCAAACACAGCATTTAGTTTAAAAAAAAACAGTACCATGATCTGGTATCGATATGACAATATTCTAAAGCCCATAATGTTAGCATCTGTTATGCGCATCATAATTCAATAGTGTTCTGCTAATCCAATTGTCCCATTCACAGTCCCAGTTAACTTATATGAGAGCAGGCTACAGTTTCATCTTCTCTAGTAACAGTTTCCTGGCACGAACTAACACCGAAACAAAATTTACATAGTGGGAACAATAGTTATCAACCTTTTCAACCTCAATCCTACAAATAAATCCAAAATATGGATGGGGCGGCAACGACCACCAGTGCAAGAAAGAATTTCCAGCGGATGCAAACAACTCTTGTTACGAATTGTGGTTTTTGTGTACTTTCCCTTAATATTAGTCTTAAGATTGATCCTGAACACAAGACACTGAAAATTGTTTTAGAACGCCTAAATGACAGAGTCGGGCTAGGACCAAGAGGATTTATGAGGAATCTTAAACACAATCCCTCTACACTAGATTATCTATCGAAATGGTAACAACTAAACAACAAAAACTACATGTCCTACATTTAAAGTATATAGAAACTTGAAGTTTCTTAAAGCTATTCTGCATCAGACAATTGAAAAAAGTAGTCTACCCTCCCTAATAACTTCAACTTCAGGAAGGAATTCCATGCTTCCAAGCTTTGTATGATACGACAAAAAGCCTACATAAATCACGAGCAATTTATAATATGAATCGTTTAAAATGTTTAGCGAAGTAGTAGGTGAGGGTGGTCATATTATTCATAAGCTAACCTTGAAGAACAGGTAGAACAATTACGGTGCCGCTCGGACTCATTATCTAAATCCAACAAGCTGTCTGATGAACCAGTTGCCATAGTTAACCAAACACCCAAAACACCCGCGCTTGAGAGGAAATATCCGTCACTATTAAATCAATATACGCACTATATATGAGTCGAGCAAATATAGACTGTCAAGTTTCGTTATTCTTGCTTTTTTATGTGACAATACAGTTCTGCAACATAGTTTGATAAAGTAAACTATGATCAGGTAACTTCCCTTTCTATAGCTAGTGGAATCATTCAGTTATGCTTGTCAGTCGGTTATAATTAATATAGATCCTAATACACACGCGTGACCCGACACTTCCATACTAGAAGTGGAATAGTCAAGAACAAAATCAAAGAAAACGGTATTGTTTATCAGCAACCATATGAGAATGACTAAATATAAAGACATAAGAACAGTTTTGGACTCCCAGTTAATGTGAGACATTAAAGAATAAGAATACATTTTTCAAATCTGAGCGATGGATTTGTAGTAAATCCATCGTTTTACTTGACAATATGATCCAACCTTTCTCAAAGAAATATAATCAAACATCGAAATCATTGGATAGTAAAGAGGTTGTGTCAGTATATAAATCCCTAAAACCAGTTGTTCTGCAAGTCTTCTACATTTGATGCTGACCACATTAGTCTTAATGAACCCGCTTAACTGAAGGCGTTTGGTCATGCATCCGCACCAGATCACGAGCAGTTAGGCTGTGTTCAACTGCTGCAACCGCTAATCAGCTTAGATCAGTCACTTCATGACAAATTAATAGCTTATCAAATATATCTCCGAACCATTTCGCTTCTGACTTATGATTTCACTGGGTTGAAAAGTTTTGATTATAGGTGTTACTGGTTAAGGTTGTAGTGACCTACTTTTATCACCAGAACACGATTGGTTTAATGAAAACAATTATTATTGTGACCAATTGTACCTGTGTTTGTTTTGATGTGCTCTTTGTTTAACTGTGCTAAAAACATCCATTATACTTTCTTCGATTGTGACCTCGCGCGAATCCGGTTACGCTCAGTAACCAAATTTGTATCCTGGCACGATCTTGGTATTCTTTCGATATAACGAGTTTGCCAGCAAATATATCTCGACTTGGTCCATTAACTGCCTTCTGATATTTGGCTTCCGGGGAATTTTATGGATATCCTGGCACACGTTCCTTTGTAGTGGTGTTCATAGTCTACAGCGACTCGTTCCCACTGTACAAGGTATTATCAAATTCCAAATACTTGTAGCATCTTTAAGATAATGCTATCAATAGAGTTGGGTCATAAAACTTATTTCAGTGGCACGAGGATCCCTCAAAAAGGTTTAAATTTTTGCATAGAAAGACTAGCAACCGAACCTCTACACATATGGGCAAATCCGAATAGTAATAATAGGAGAGATAGAATATAATTAGCTGTCCTAAGGAAACTAATTAATATGTAAACCTGAACTCATCCCATTTGATACATCACCTATTATATAAACAACGACAATTACATTCAGCTGTTCTACATGGTTTTCTATATGGATATGATGGAAAACTAATGAGAACAATAAAATAACACAAACGTTCGTTTCTTCGTTTTTATTTTGTTTACCTATCTTCATTTTATGCCTGCTGTGATATATGATTCATATCGTGCACAAAAATCGTGTCGTTGCTTAAAGATTCACCGATCAGAGGCGATACGTGGTCAACCGAACTTCTTCTCACACCTCAAATCCACTTGGGAATACACACAGTCGGTTATCTTCACACACTTTTCGTTTAACACCACATGCGTCATGCACACTAAGGCAAATACCGACTTGAAACATTATTAACGTGATTGAGTGACCTATTTAGTATACAGTTAACCGAACAACCATGTACCTATTGATATTCGATAATTTTGATGTCTGACTATATTTCTTTGAAGAAGCTTGAACCAGATTGTCGTGAGATTTACTTTAAATTCATTCGCTGAAATGTTACATGTGCATTCTCCCTCCCTAAATATAGATGTTTTCGAAAGGATAGAATAGGTATAGCTGTAAATAAATCCCTAGAACAAATAGTTCTATAAGTCTCCGAGACCGACCTTAACCTAATATGTTGTACTGGACACACTATATCTGAAAATGATGTTTCACACATCTGCACTGGATAACCATTAGATATGTCGTGTGATGCATCCCTCGCGGCAACGAGTCACCTTTGATCACACACTTCCTGACATGTCTAGCTTCTAAATGCTGCTTCGAAGTTTTGAGGACAGTTAGCATAGACTTATTTGGTAATTAGGTTTTTTTATCAGTCGCATTTTCTGCTGGAGGCTTTGTATTGGCTGACACTGTCAAGCCCACATAGGTTATTCTAGCTTCTGATCAGGCCATTTTGTCCATTCTTCACAAATCACATTTTGACCTCATCAGTTATTCGCTCATCAGCCCTGACTGTTTTTATACGATCGTATGTGTGCTAATTACCCACTCTATTCATCATGTCTGTAACTTACTTTTGTCTGAATATAAATACTGAGTCACATTTCGTTAAATGAAGTTGGCTGAATCGCATTCTTCACTACGCGTCGTTTCGCTTCATTCTTCTCTCTCCGCCTTATTCTCTTCGTTTCCCTGATCGTCTGTTTGGATAAACGATTGTAGGGAATATACGTATTCGAAACCCATTCTTGTGTTTAACGTATTCATTGCCATTAATCATTAACGCGATCTCAGTCGATGATTATATGGCGGGGTTGTACATTTCGATGATAGTTGTATTACGATTTAATCGAAACTAGATAAAGGGCCACACATTAAAAGTTGAGAGCTCGTCGATAGCATCATCGTCTGACCTCACAGACGTCAGAATGAAGGGCCACTTATTCATGACTTCTGGTTTGACAGGCTTTGTGACCCTCGTTTTAAAGGTGTTATGGACCACTGCTTTGTCAAGCCCCGAATGTCCGTGATGTCTTTGCACGTTTGTATGAAGTAGTGCTGAGATATAAGATGCAAAGCGAAATGAAAAGTGAATTCATATGAGCAGTTGCAACTGGCGTGGGTTTATGTCATCCCAAATCTCTAGCTTTCGATTATTAGTCTAGTCAGGTGGCTCGGTTCAGATGTTGGTACTCCATGAACTTTTGCTATGATAAGGTATGTCAGTTGGCAATCAGTGTCCGTAGGTATGGAATGTGCTTTGCACTTTCGAAGTGCAAAGTACTTCTACAAGACTGACAAGATTCTAATCCTGTACTCACCCTGTATGATAAGCGATAGAAGTAGTCTAGAAGTTCGTGTATCTGGGTAGCTGCATAAGTGCTGATGGTGGCGTGAGTGATAAGATCAATTCACGTGTAGTGAAAGCCAGAGTGGCTTATCCCAATCTGAGCCACCTTTGGCGCGTTCGTGATGTTAGTCTGGCTGTAAAAGGTAGGATCTACAACGCGTCGGTGAGGGCAGTTTTGCTCCATGCTTGTGAAACCTGGCCTCTCCGAGTTGAGGACGTTAGAAGACTCTCTGTGTTCGATCATCGCTGTCTCCGAAGGATTGCTGATATCCAGTGGTAACACCATGTTAGTAATACAGAGGTTCGGCATCGCGTGTTCAGGCACACGGACGATAATACAATTGGCGTCACTATCTTGAAACACCGACTTCGGTGGCTTGGACACGTTCTACTTATGTCGTCCTAGAGAATTCCACGTCGTGGATTATTTGCCGACTCTGGGACTGGTTGGTAAAAGCGAGGAGGTGGTCAGTGTACGACATGGTGTCGTGGTATGAAAGAAAACCGCAAGGGGCTGGCTCCTGTTGATCCTTCACGAGTCCTTGTCTGAAGTCCTAGAAATGGTGCTACACGGTGGCTAGAGACGTTATCAGATATGGCTCAGAATAGAAGTCAGTGGCGATCCTGCTGTAACCTCCTTTTACTACCTCCATACTGATAAGTCTTGTCGATCGAACGCTATATTCGTTCCCAAGCTATTCTGATAACCCACAAGCAAGAACTACACAGAGACTTGAACACCAGAGAGAAGACGCAAAGTGTGAGAGAAAAACTTTACTCCAAGGTTCGTTTTTGTACAGAAAATCATGGGTATTTATAGATGTTAGCGTTTGTTAAATCAACACCATATTTCAGCCAATCCGTTGGCGACATATTATGCTACTGACCAATAGTGGCACGCCACGTTGGAATTCTAGAATGCTCTATTGTGCTGTGATTGGCTGGGACTTTTCGGCTCCTTTTGGGCCTCTGGAGGCTCCGTTGAAGTTCTCCGAAAGCCGACTCAACACCTCCCCCGAATAAAATTTCTTTCTGGGATCTACTTGTAGTTTGACAATTGGGTTTGCGACGGCGTCCCATTATTCTTGTCGTTTTCCTTGTCCAAAGCTTCTTTTCACATACAAAGTGGTTGTTTCTTCTTTAGCTGAGAGAATCCTTGTGGTTGTACCTTTCCGTTTTCCTGATTATTACACTACCATACAATAATCTAAGATCGTTATTGTTTTTTTCTCATACTCAACTTACCTTCTTTTTCTATTCCTATCCTCCCTGTTTTGTGTGGCGTATATCTGATGCCTACTTTCCTTCAGAATTTACACTAAGGGAAAGCGAAGTAAAACTCTCCTCCAGCAGATCTGTAATTCTGGCAATTCAAATGGTTCAAATGGTTGTGGACGGAATAGAAGAAGCTTTCGCTTAACAGGCTTCCGTGTCTAGTAGCAGGGGATCACCAAATCCTCCAGGCAGGAACCTAGGTATGTTAACAATAAAAGAGGAAAAGAAATTGGTAAATCATAATGTGATGCTGTCCTTGGTCCTTAAGAATAGGTCAAGTTGCCTCTTGAAGGACTCCTGAGAAGTCGCTTGGACTAGCTCGGCTGGCAGCGAATTCCAGCTTTTGACAACTCTTAAGGAGTAGAAATTGTGTCTACATTCCGTCTTGCTATGTTGTGTTTCCAGTTTCTGGGTGTTACCCCTTAGGTTATTATTCGAACTAAGCTTAAGTAGGTGTTTAAGAGGATGTCCAGAAGTGTTAAGAATACTATA